CCCCCCCCCCCCCTCCTTCGTCCCTCCCGAAGACAACCTACACTCTGGAGGAGCACGACCAACCATGGAAACCTCCCAGAACCTGAACCAAACATACTCACGGCCGAAACAGCGCGCTCTCACTCTGAAAATGATTTCCCCCTGCCAACTACTCTACAAAAACCTACACTGCGAGGAAGAACACACGCCACGAAGCAACAGTGCTGTCCTATTGTTGCTGAAACAGCAATGGCCTTCAGAGCAACACGAACGAATCCCGTAGCAGGAGCCGGGCCGAAAACAGGCAAACTCCGCCCACCCAAACGTCATTCCGTTAGACCGCACGAAACGCAGCAAATACACGAACATTTGTGCGGAGTCCCGCAAGAATCACACTGAAATCCGCGAGAAAGCAACACTGGTACATGCGTCGATGTTTGGTCGGTAATTCGAAGTAAACCCGATTAGCCACACCAAACAGAAGTAGAAGAAGTATATATAAATTCTCAGACCGCAAGGACAACTGCGAAAACAAAATATGGGCCTCGACTTTTCCTTTCCAGATCTCTCTCTGTGTGTCAACTTCGCAAGCCAGTCATCATCTGTACGCTACCCCCCTCTCGTTTCGGCGCAAACGCTCTATTTTAGGAGGTTTCAGCAACAGTCACGCAGGTTTCCGTAACGAACCACACACCCTGGACCTGTTTTTCAAAGCTTGACTACTCCGCGGGAAAGACCAGCACCGGTCCCGAAATTGGTGGGAGGCGATGGGACCGTCTCGTCGAGAGCTTTCCGAACGACGTGCCGATTTGAGTTTGGTATCCTCTTCGCTATGGTGATGCCGGGCTGCGAAACTCGGCCCAGGGGCTGCCTTGGGCGTCTTATCCAACGTGCGGTATGCTGGCGGGTGGACGCAAACGTTGATGCCTACTCAATCGTCTCTCGCCTTACAAAAAAAAAAAAAAAGTGGGAAGAAATATAAGCGGCAGAAGAAACGAACTAGCTGTAGATGAGGCGGAGGATGTCGTTGTGAACGTAGTACGCTCCCGGCCCCGTGCTCACGAGCTGGAACATCTGAAGGTAGTGAAGCTGATTCCCGTTGTCAATCTGTCCACAGAGCAAAAACGAGAGAACACACACGCCAGGAGAAAGTTTCGGCAGCACCGGTTCGGTCGTTGCGGCAGTCTCGACGAAAACAAAATGGTTTGTGACTTGATTGCTTCCGCGTGCCTACCGGTGAAAGCTCAAGGCAACAGACATGTTGTTCCCACAGTCAAAAACAAGCCAACCACCGCTCAGAGGAGGATCATAGACACGGAGAGAGTCTTTCAATTCGAGATACCGTAGAGCTATACTCTCCNTCGTGCATGCCGTAGTCGTTAGACCATTGACCTCGCATCCCTACAAAGCCGGGACGGAGCACGCCGGGTTCTCACCGGACCAGGCTCTCACGTCGCCAAGCGCGAAGCGCCGTGAGATATTCGGCGAGTCGCATGAACGGTGCGCTGCATCCTGCTAAGGGTGTTCGGTATCTTGTGCTTGTTACGGATGACAGCTGCGTATGGCTTGATATATTTTCTGGTGCTTTCACTTCCTGAGACAGTTGTAAGCTGTGTAACTGCCTCGAGGGTGCTTAACCATTTTAACACAACGTGGTGCGATCATCCCCCTTGCGCGGAGTGAGGGTTCTCCATCCCGCACAACATGATCTACTCGNGGGGGGGGGGGGGGGGGGGGGGGGGGGGGGGGGGGGGGGGGGGGGGGCAGGCAGTTTCGCCCACCGAATGGAGGGCACCCGGCGTAGAACGAGCACCGGCCCAATCCAAAGCATCAACACAACTTGAATATTCATCCTGTGCCTACAGCAGGATCTCTGCGCCAAGAGATGCCGACCGGCCGAAACAAGCCACCCGCTCAAAAGTAGGGCCACTACACTGTACTGTTACAAGCTACAGATTGAGCGGTGAAAGAATGCTACAAGGGGTCCAACAGTCTTGCCGCGGCTGTCGCAAAATTGCAAACCGTACGTAGGCCATGGCACCAGATGCCATCTGTACACAGTACCTTGAGCTTGCCGGTGACAACCGCCAGGAGGGCGCTAGTGGTAGTGCCCATCTGCACATCAAGCGTGTCCGGCTGAAACTGCAGGTTTCCCCCCAGATCCTGAAAAAAAACAAAAAGAATAACGTGTGAACGGCCGACAGGACACCACGCAAAACCCCGGTGAGCGGGCCGTCACTCGTTTTCTCCTCATCCGTATGCATACGACCGCACACTAGAGTGAGCTCGGGGGGAGTCCTTCATTACGCCATACAAGACAGCACTTTTCGCGTTGAAAGGACAAGAGCGTTCATCGGGTGTTGACGACGTTTGACGTTCAAAATCGGCTCGGCGGGCTGAAGAAAAGAAAATAACCAATATTCTATATTTTTCCTTCTTCGACGAAAAAATTTCCGCGGACTTGTTGAAAAGTACGGAGGTCAGAAGGTACTGACAAGACAAGATGCCAGCGTTTTCTTGTACCTTAGTCTCAGACCTGTAGTCTCAGACAACGGAACACATGAAAACACGTTTTGTTTGCGTCAGTAAATTCTGCTTGGATTGGCCATCATGCCCCTTACCACCACATCGAAAGGTGTCGACGGCCAAGACACCGTTGGTGTGGTCTTCACTTTACAAAACCGTTCCGGCCTCCGCTCAGTACCTTCTAATGTCCGTACTGCTCCAACGGACGCGGACGCCTTCCGTGGTCACAAGCCAACTGCCCCCCCAAAGTACCCCCAGCAATGCAAGAACTATAACATTCGCTGCTGACGCATACCGTCATAGTCGGGGAGTTGGCACTGGGGTGAGATAGAAAAACTGATTAACAAATCGATTTACGCACCGGGTGCGATCTCTCCGACCCCGAAATCCAAGATTGAGTTCCTTTTCAGCTGCCGGAATGAGGTACATGTGCGTACCATTAACACGTGGGGACGGGGTCAGCGGACCGCTACTCCTTTACGTACGGTTGGATGGTCGCGGTTCACGCGGGATGCCAGTTGTTTTCATTTTTTGATTGGAATGGAAGTTGCCAACCGTGCACTCAACCAAACACACACAACGAATGCTACAAGCCGCACACTACCTACCCCACCTTACACAACCCGAAACAAGTGTACTGCTGCGTACGTACTGGTACCCGTAGAAGAAGACCGAAACGAACGCGGGAAACGATTGATACCGTGTGTACTGGTACCACCTCAGATGAATACGAAATAGATTGTTTGCTGTCACTTCATAGCCAAACTCGCATCAAACACAAGACCACTCGCTACATGGAAAGCTGTGACGTACCAGTTGACGTTGCCATTGCCGGTGTGCTTCCAACCAACAACAACCGTACCTAAACGTGCTGTTCTATCTTGATCAATAGGATTGTCAACTACCGATTGTCACAACTCCGTCTACTCTCCTTCCTTATCCCCACCCCCCAACACGCCCAAGAACTCTAGATTGCTCTCATCGGGGATCGCACCGGGGTGCCTTGAAAACTCTTAACGAAATGATTTAATTGCATTTCCCCACCGGGGTCGGAGAGATGGCACCGGGGTGCGATAAAAAACCCGAGAAACACACATTTACAAAAAAGATCGCATCCTGTGCCAACTCTCCGACTACGGTACTGCTGTACGACCGACATCCTTCTACTTGTACCGAAGAACAGAAGAAAAAAAAGTATTCCAAGCGGGGTTCGAACCCGCGACCTCCACCATGTCAAGGTGGCGTCATAACCAACTAGACCATCGGAACGTGGCAACGGTACTCTGAAGCTCATCTCCTGAATAACAAAGATTTCTGCATCTCGAGGAAGACAAACATATGACGTATTTCGTGGTCTGAGGAGATCTTCCATTCTACAAACATAACTGCTGTGCGAAGCCATCCCTTTCTAAGAATATCCTTCTCGCAAATTGCTTTTGCACGAATGCACTTCTCTAGTTCTTCCATTCGTTGAAACTCTGCATTCGGACGGGGCGATGCACTCTGCTCCCTTTTCCAAGCTCTTCCTTGCTGTACCGTGTACCCTTAAGGAACTATTTGCGTCTGATCGAGAGGCGACAAAATGCAGCAACCACGACATTCTGCGCTTCACGAGCTACATGAAAATTATATAGTTCTTACCTTTTCCTCATTCAATTGTAACGCGTACTTCTTGACTTCGGCGAAAAGAACCATCACGCTAAGAGAAAACCCGTGTTTATGCATGCTGCCTACCGACAACAGCAGCGAGTGTTCCTTCCCTTCCCTGTGTCTCTTTCTGCGCTCACCTTGTACTTGGCGACAATGTTGGTGGCTCCTACCACCTGGTTCCCCTCTATCGTGAGCATCGAGGTGGGTTGGTAAAGAGCGCCCAACTGGTCCAGCTGTGGGTTCGTCAGCCATCGATACAACGGCGAAGGGAGGTAGGCAGAAAGAGCCGGCGGGGAGGACATAAATCAGGGCATTTGAACCGAAACAACCAAATAGTGACCCGGTAGTCGACTGATGCTGTCCAACATGTGCGAGCCAGATCCACGCTTACAGCCAGTCCTCTACAACAGTAGTTCGGGTCGCATGTGTTTAGACCGACCGCCCACGTAGATAGTGGGCGAACCCAATCAGTCCAATGGCGCCATTTCTCCATACTGTCGACTACTAGTGCAGTCGAACATGTAACAGACACATGCGCACACAAAAGCCCGCCGCATTGTGTGGGGGACAGCCCATTTGTCTCTGGCCTCATGCACCTATCGCCGCCTCAAGTTTTTTCTTACTTTTTTTGTTGTACGGAGCCGACCTCGTCGTGCTTCGGGCAAAGTTGAATTTGTCTCGAAATCTTTTAGGTTCGATAATAACCGTGAAAAGACCCTCGAAAGCTCGGATACAAACACCGGAACTGACGGGGCGGGATGGAATCTCAAC